GCCCGTCACCACTTCTTGAAACGGGAATAAGAACCAATCAAAATCATTTTTCTTCCTCCTTCTCTCTTTCTCTCTCTACCTTTTTCTACCTCTTAACAAGTTATAACATTATAACACCATTTCCTACATGGTGTTAAGGTTGATGTGACATGTAAGAAGACGTTATAACACCGGCCCATACCCAATGCTCTTACAAATTCTAAAACCATTCTACTAAAATTAAAATACAATTTTAAAAGTAATTTCTTTTAGGAAAATCACAAAATGGTCAAAAAAGAGAGAGGTTTTAACAAAATTACATTTTTTAGTACAAATGACAACATATTTATCTATGGCCTACTGATAAAACAATTTGTATGGCCTCTTAAAAAAAGTTTATTTTTTCAAAATATGGTGAAATTGTTTTTCGTTTTATATTGATTCATACTTTCTAAAAGCTATTTCGCAACAAAAATAATTTTTATAGTGGGAGATTGATTGTTGGATTGAGAAAGATTTTAACATTATTTTGGGTAAGAAAATAAGGAAATATCTTAAAATTAGTTTTTAATTTCACACACACCACTACGAAATTTGTGGTCAATTTAAAAAAATAAAAAATAAAAAATAAAAACTGAAAATGATGATATTTTACTGAATTTATCTCATTTTTTGACAAATATACTTAACACGATAAGTTACTTTTACCACAAAATAAAATACTTAATCGCATTTGCAAGATTAATAGACTAAAGTCATAATACACAAAATAAAAATATTGATGTCATTCCCATCCGGTATCTGTTCCAGAAAAACGAGAACCGGAATCAGAACCGTTTGAGGCGGTTCCAAAACTTTATGAACCGGAACCGACGGTTCCGAGACGGTCCCGCTTCCGAAAACAGATACCGGTTCCGCTGCTCACCCCTATTGATTATTGATGGGTTCCAAGAAAAACCACTTTCCAATATAGAAAATCAAATGTAAAAGTACATAAATGTGAAGGACTTACGTGCTCCCTTTCGTAAACCGTTTTGTGAATTATCAAAAACACCTTTCGTAAACAATCTCAAAGTGGAGGTAAGAGCTCCTGATGCAGAAAGCCCCGCTAGAAACGACTATAAATACCCCAACCACAAGACAAATCATTATATCACATAGTCAAAACAAGTCCACACACACAAATTACAAATATATAATAATTTGATTTATAGGTACTAACTTGAATGAACTCGGGGAGCATGAATGACAAGTCTCCAACCATTCCACCTTGCACATAAGCATCGGCTACTCCAAAGGCAGCACTTATCACACACACACAGATGAAACTTCCCATTCCTCCTTTACCAGATGTTGCTAAATCCAACTATAATACATGACACAAACGGAATCACTTCGTTGTTGATTTTCCAAAAACATCTGAGACATTTTTGGGGACTTACAAGTAGAACAGCGAGAGTACTGAAGAAGAAGAGAATGTATCCAAATAGATTTCGTTTCCTGGTGTTTATATTGGCTTCATGATATGCAAGAATCGCGAGTGTTCCGAGGGCGAATGGTTGGTATACGAGCGTCAGGACTCTCATGGAGTGATACTTCTGCAGAAAATCGTCTAAAATCATGGTTAGTTTTCGATTGAAAAAATGGTACGTATGATGTTTAAGTCAACGTAACACGAAGGTGATGCCACGTGAGTGGTAGGTTTAATTAGGAGATTACTGGAAACAAATGAACATAGTAATCTTCAATCGTCAGCATGCTGTTCCAAGAAAACGCACACCCAATTCCAAGAAGCCAACACACCACCATTGCAGTAAACTTTCCCTGCAAATTTAACAGTTTCGTTTATGATCATCCAAAACTTATTCAAAGATTCACAGTTTCTCAAGATCACTAAACAAAGCAATGAAAAGTGTTACCTCCAGTTTTGTAGGTGTACTCCCTTTCTCATGACGAGTTGTCGTTGGAATTGCTGCTTCCATTTTAGCAGTATGTTTACAACCTGTTTGTCGAGATTCGCCAGATGAGCTTTTTAAAACTGAAAATTAATATGCATTATACATAAACATAAAGCAACTGAAATTCATAGTGGAAATGGTAGAATTTATGCAGTACCAAAGAGAGGATTCAAGAAACTGGGAGTGAAAATTATCGATCTTAGTGTGATTTCCGAGATGGGTTATTGTGAAGTGTGGAGAGGTCCTTTTAAGGACATGCTATGCAGGGACTTTTTATGCTGGAATCTTGCATGATAAAGGATGATTAATTAAAGTTCCGCGGATTACTGATTCTAGTCATTTTTAACAAGAGGTTTTTGCATACGATTTTCCATTAATGGAATCCACAAAGCACGGAGAACAAATTTAGTGACCAAGTCAACTGCTATTCGGTACCATGAGTGTTAGTGTAAAATTTATTGCTCTTCTAAAAGTTAGTGATGTTGAATTCCATAATAATTTTGTTTAAAAAAAATAAGATATTTAAATATTTATAGCAGCATATTATAATCGTTTATATTAATAAATTTATTATTTTTGTATTTTATATATGACTGTTACATAAAAAAAGTATTTTGTTGTATTAAATAATAAAAAAGTAAATCACATTAATTAGTGAAATAATGAAAGGGTTTATTAAAATAAAGTATATCACATTAAATGGTAAAACTTTTAGTTTAATGAAGTGTCTGTGAAATGTGGCCTTTAACCACAAATATATATATATATATATATATATATATATATATATATATATATATATATATATAATATATATATAGCTAGGTTATAATGTGGATGGTAAGTATTGTGTGGATGTAGGGTTGAATATGGACCAAGAGTTTAAAATACATATTCTAATAGAATATGTATTCTGATTGAATACAAATTCTGATAGAATACATATTCTGGTTGAATGAACATTTTGTAGAATAACAAAATTTTGAACCATGAGTTGAAGAATAACAACATTCTTAAAGAATAATCATATATTATTAACATTATTGAAGAATCTAATGTCCAAAAATAAACAAAAAAACAATTTTTACTGTCACATTTTATAAAAATACAATGTTATTTTTTGAATTTTTGCAACATTCTATTAGAATACAAGCTTCATAGTGAGTCAGTCATTCTTGAAAAAATCTTCATTCTATAAGAGTATAATGTCGTTCATGAAAGAATCTTCATTCTCATTCTTGTTTCATGTTGATATATTCCATCCACCATTGGTCAAATCAGTTGGAACAAAATACACAAATTGACCAATAGTCAAATCAGCTGGAACTAGATATCTGAAATAAAAACATTAACTTATTACCATTTTGTGGGTCCCATCACATTCATATCTTTTTATATAAATGACACCATAAAAAGAAAATGTAAAAATTGTAGTGATCTAATCAAACCGATGAAAGTAGTTTGTTATTTCTTTCATATAATCCTATATAAACTAATATAGATACAACAAATGGGAAAGGTTAACATTCACATACTTCTTTTTGTCTATGTCAGGGATGTCAGATTTTTCAGCTTTCTCAACAATCACCTAAAACCAAAATTTTACTCAAGAGCTAAGAGACAAATAGAATAGCATAAAGTTTGATTGATAAAGAAACAAAATGTCTTACTGAAACTCTATCTGGATACTTCTCTCTGATGCGAGAGAATTCTGATTTCCTCTTCTCTACATAAACAAAAAGGACAAATTCAGGTTTAGCAATTGATCTTATTATCTAATTGCACATCTTGATGCAATAATCGTTTAGAAAACAGGCATCGAAACACCCAATTAAACAAATATTCTTATCAAATGATCAAGAATGAAACAAGAAAACCGCAAAAGAAAAGGAAATTGTGATTGAAGGCACAATACCCAATGGGTGTTCAAGCTTGAACGAGCATTTAGCCATATCTGCACTCTGACTGCTTTATGCAGATTTCAAACAATTGAAAAACATTACAACAAAACCCACAACAACTGAATTGAACGCTTAAAACACGATTAAAGAAGAAAACAAGGTTATCGCAAAAAAAATTACATGAAACGTGACAGAGTTTCTTCTTTAAACCCAATGAAGAATGCAACGACAAGAAATTAAAATTGATGGGTTTACCTGTCAAAATTAAGAAAAGAACAGAGAGAATGATTGGTATAATCCAACTTTGTAAGGCTTCTTTAAAGGAGAAATTGAGTACAAGGAAAGGGGCAGGATTCTTGATTCTAACACAGAAGGAGATGAAACAAATTTTGGGTTTTCCCAACTCTACATAGAATCTGTGTGTTGCTGATGAACATATGAAAGGGTAGAAAGTGTCGACGACTAAAGAGTCGACGACGGACAGTGTAGTGAGGATCGACGACGGACTCAAGGGCTTACGGCGACCGGCGACGGCATGAAGGTCGCCTGATGGGGGCCGAAGGTCAATGAAAACGGGAGGGATACGATTGTGTGGGTGTCGATTGAAGAGGCAATATGGTTTTAAATAAAGTAATTTGCCTAAATTAAAGGGTAGATGATTTAATTAATTGTTTATTAAAATTAAATAATACTTGACCCATATTAATCCCTACATCCACACAATAATTGTTCATCCACATTTGAACTTATATATATATATATATATATATATATATATATATATATATATATAATATATATATCAGTGTTGTAAAAATCCCGACTAGGGCCTGATTAATCTCTGATTAATCCCGAGGCGCTACTCGACCGATTAGAGGGCGCCTAGCGATTAATCCCTATATACACAATGAGTGAAATAATAGAACCTGATGAAATTTTAACACTTTGAAGAAGTTATATCTCAATAGAAACTATTTGAGTTATGATTAGTGTTGTATTAATCAAATTAACCTATTTTGTTATGATATTAGTGGAATTTATGACCTTTTATATGATATTAGTCATTTAATTTTTAAAAATTCAACAAATTAGCAATTAATGGTCCCCGATTAATCCCCCATTTAATCTCCACCTAGCCGATTACCCTTAACCCCAGTCCACCGACTAGCTAACGTTAAACGATTTTTACAACCTTGATATATATATATATATATATATATATATATATATATATATATAGATATATATAATATATATATATATATAGATAGATAGAGAGAGAGAGAGAGAGAGAGAGATCGGGTGATGACTCTTTTTCGGTAAAAACACCTTAAAAATAGTGAAAAAATATACAAATCATAAAATCGAGCATAATACTATACCAAAGAGAAAAAAAAATTGAAAATTTTATTTTGGATCACTAAATTGAAGCATGAATCATTTTTATGATTCATGATTCATTTCTTATGATCCATGATTCAATTTTAATGATCCAACTTTTTTTTTTCCAATTTTTTTTCTCCGATATAGTATTATGCTCGATTTTATGATTTGTATTATTTTTATATTTTTTTTCAATTTTTTTAAGCTGTCCTCACCGAACAAAGAGTCTTTACCGCAACCGAACCCCATATACCCCATATATATATATATATATAATATATATATATATATATATATATATATATATATATATAGATATATATATATTATATATATATATATATGACGAACTCTCAGGCGTTATGCAGAAATTTAATTAGATAACTTAAATACTATAATTGTATGTCATTTAAAATAAGTTAAGGGCATTTGATTCTTATATTGTTGTATTAGACACTACATTTTGATATATTTTTAATGTCTCTTACAAAAAAGGTGTTCGTGATTTGGATATCCAATGATGTTTGTCAATTGATATTATTTTGGATTGTTTGGTTGGCAATTGGAATGCGACTGATAATGTTTGTATTTGTATGTATGAATTAGTTGTAAGAATGGATGTTATTGAAAAAAATTTAAAGAATTATGTTATAATTAGACTTTAATGACCTTAAGATTTATGTAAGTTAAATTATATTCAAATAATGTTGTACATTGATAACCCGTTAGGTAGTCTAGTTGGTAAATACTACTGGTAGTATTTTAATAAATAAAAAAAAATCCTTATTTACTTAAATAATTTATTTTTAGAAATTTCATTTTTTAGAAACCGAATAAAATCAATAGATGAAGATATCAAGTAATTTACAAAATATATATGTTTGTGTATACACATTAATATTTATAAAATATTAATGAAAAAATATGCAATTTTACATTGAAACTAATTTTTCAAATAATATAACACTTTCAAATATTAACTAATGCATAATTTAATATACTTTAGAATTTTGAACAATTTATAATTTTATATTTCATATATTTAAATTTAAGATTGAATAATACCATTGTATTTGAAAGTTATTAAATAAAAATAATATTTTGGTGGATGTGTTATATATAATATATTTTTTATTATATAATACCTATAAAAAATATGTTTAGGTAGAATGATTCATATGTTTTGTTCTTATCTCAATTTAAATATACAAAATAATATTTAATATTCACGTCAATATCTTAATATTTTACAACTTATTAATGTTGTATTAGAAAATGATAAAACTAAAGATTAAACGTTTTAATAAAAAAGGATACATATGAAATTGCAAGTCATAAATTTTCAACAATCTACAAATGTCAGAATATATTCATAATATATATATATAATATATATATATATATATATATATATATATATATATATATATATAGATATATATATATATATATATATCGATTCTTGATATAAATGTATCTAAGCTTTCTAACCTTATTCGATACTATTATAACCAACGTTCTAAATAACGTAAGACGTGATTTGGTGGGAATGTCAAACATCAAGCTTTTTTTGAGTTGTGGCGGGTCATGCCGTTTGTAAAGCTTAATATATATATATATATATATATATATATATATATATATATATATATATATATATATGTGTGTGTGTGTGTGTGTATGTGTGTGTGTGTGTGTGTGTGTGTGTGTGTGACTTAAGGCTGCATTTTGTCAAAGCTT